GGTTTTTAAAACTACATTTTACAAAATTTTTAATTCAAAACTTTTTGAAATCAAACATGTTATAAAACATGAAAATATCGATCACTCCGAGTCTTCGACTCGGAGCAATCGATATCTTCATGTTTTATAATAATTAAAAATGTTGGACTGATAAAATCATCATTTTATAGTTTATACCTATTGTAAGAATATTGTTACTCTAACTTATTCAAAATTACATTCATTATTTTAATTCAATTATTGTTTTCCTCAATTTTTAACAAAAATTCTTCTTTATAAAGTGTAAATTAATTATTATTAATAATTTCTTAAAAATTTCTTTCAACATTTTCAAATCCTTTTGTTTACAATTCAATTTTACGAAATTTCATCGATTATTCAGGTATACGGAAATTCTTCAATCAAATATATATTAGAAAATAAAAAATTGAAATAACTTCAAGAAAATTCAATTCAACTTTTACGAAAAACATAAATCTACACAATTTTAAGTTAAAAGTATGAAAAATTCAAACATTCAAATCAAAAGATTATAATTTGAAACCTGCTTTTCAAAACTCAATTATTATCTAAAGTTTTAACTCAAATTCATATTTGAATCAATTATTATTAGAAAATTCTACGACAATTCAATTATTTAAATAAAAAAAAATAATTTATTGAAGAATTGAATGTTTTTTTAAAATTCAACTCTCATTTAAAGAATTTTATCAACAAATTTTTAAATATGTAATTAAAATTCTTTTGACGAATTTCAATAAAATTTTTAAGAATAATTTCATTTTTCGAGAAATTAGATTAAAAATGTATTGAAAATAATTGAATCTCTGTAAAAAAAATTTTATTGAATTGAGAAAAGTTTTTGAAAATAATTGAAATTTTGTCAAGAATTTTATTAAAATTTTTTTTAATAATTGAAATATTGCCAAGAATTTTATTAAATTTTTTTTAAATAATTGAATTTTAGAGAAAAATTTTAATATTTATAAAAATAATTGAAATTTTGACTATAACTTTTATTAAACTTTTGACCATAATTGAATTTCTGCTAAGAATTTTATTACTTTTGAAAATAATTGAATTCTTGAGATGAATTTTTTGATAATATTTCTTTTCAAATACCTAATTATTTTTAATACAAAAATAAATAATTTATATAATAATTGAATGTTTCTCAAAATTGAATTCTCATAAAGAATTTTATCTATAAATTTTTAAATAATTGAATTCTTTTATCGAATTTTAATAAAATTTTAAGTATAATTTTTACATTTTTCGAGGAATTCGATTAAAATTGTATCAAAAATAATTGAAATTCTGCAATGAGTTTTATTATCTATGAAAATAATAATTGAATCCCTGTAAAAAATTGTATTACATATATTTATAAAAATAATTGAATCTCTGTAGACATAAATTGAATATTTTTGAAAATAATAGAATTATTGCGAAGAAATTTATAAAAACATTTTTAAATAATTCATTTCTTTTGGAAAATTTTATTAAAATAGTAGAAAAAAAATTAAATTTGTTAAAAAGAATTTCATTAAAATTTTTGAAAATAATTGAAATTTTGCGATGAGTTTTATTATCTATGAAAATAATTGTAAATCTATAAATTTTTTTATTATTTATGAAAATAATTGAATTATTGCGAAGAAAAATTGTAAAGGCAACTCTTTTAAAATTGAGGCCTTGGATCCAATAACTCGCCCGACGCTCGAAGGCACGCGCTAATACCAGTCGGGTAGCAGTGAGTGTCCCAGAGGCGCTCACTGCTCACTGACTGGCAGTTACGCGTTCCTCCGAGCGTCGGGCGAGTTATTGGATCCAAGGCCTCAATTGAATTAAGAAATTTGAATTTAGAAAATTGAATTAAAGAAAAATTAGATTTCAAGAATAAGCACAATAACTTTTAAAAACAATAATTTTCCAGGATTCCAATCAAAATTCCCTGACTTTTCCAGGTTTTTTCAAGGTTTATAAAAATTTCCTGACATTTCCAGGTTTTCCAGGTTTTCAGATTGCGTGGCAACCCTGATTTAAAAAATAATTACATTGCAAATTATTTCAATTGAGTGAAATAAATTACAAATTAAATTGCAAATTTTACCTAAATTGTAATTTATCTAAAAAATAATTACATTACAAATTATTTCATTTGAGTGAAATAAATTACAAATTAAATTACAAATTACCTAAATTGTGAGTCAAATAAGTAATGAATTAATTAAATTCCAATTTCAGTACCTAATGAGCCGATTCGATAATTAATGGTAACCAAGACAACATCTCGATCTAGTAAATATTCTGGTCCAAATTGGTCGCTTTGACCAGAATAAGAGAAAAATCCTCCTGGATGAATAAAAACAATAACTGGTCTTTTCACTTTGTCATTTTCAGTTGGTAGCTAAAAAACATTGTAAAAGTTAGAAAATAAAAATTAGAAAAAAAGTTAAATTAAAAAAAAAATAGTACGGAGATATCTAAACAATTTTTTTTATCTTTAATTTTTTCAATTTTTAGAACAGTGTAAAAATATTTAAATATTAAAAATTCATAAAAGCTATCGATAAAAAAATTTGAATTTAATTTTTAATTAAAAATTTCTTGATTTTTCTGCATATAATTACCTTGGTCGTGTACACATTTAGCCGAAGACAATCTTCTGACATAATTGCATAATTTAGCTGAGGACATGCTGGACCCTCTTTGGAGGCATCGAAGACTTCATTCCATGGTTTTACAGGCACAGGTGGCTTTTTTAAAAAACAAGATAATTATAATACCAAAATAAAAAAAAAATATTTGTTCTGCTTATAAATAATTATTTATTTATAGTTAAGTATATTTCGTATAAATAACATTAATTTTTATTTAAATCAATTAAATGGTAGGTATTTGAAACATTAATTTCAGTATTTAAAGCAAATTGATAATCAATTAAATTAATTATCAATTTATCAAATAAATCTTTTTTCGAGTGTAAAATATTAATTATTAAATTAATTTTGGAAAATTAATTTAATTAAAAAAACTCTTTCTTACCTGAAAGCTAAGTTTTCCAGTCGGTGATTCAGCATATCTCACACCGCGGAAGGAAAAAATTTTTTTACCCAATCTCGTTGTTTTAAGAGAGCCTTTAATTCGACCGAGGTCATTTATTTTGACATTTAAATTTTCTTGCGCATATGCAGCATAAAAATTCGAAAATAAAACAAGAATATATAAATTAAATGCAATTTTTTCCATTTTAATTTTCAGTCTCGAAAGTAAAAATACACGCATGTAAATGTTGGCACAATTTTTAATTTTTAATTTGAAAAATTTAGTACTTTTTACAAATTATAATAATTTAATCAGTTATAAAAAGAAATTAAACCGAAAAAAATAAGAGAAGAAAATGAAAGTAATCCGTCGAGTGATGTAAAAATGGAAAAAATAATAAATATCAAGTTGGCAGATTATATACTTTTTTCAACAAGGAAAACTTTGTGGACGTAAATTTCTACATAATTGTATTTAGTCAGAATTCAAAATAATATTTAATTACATTTTTTGTACGTTAAAATTGAAAATATTGAAATTAATATTAATATTACTAATAATCATTAACATTATTGATTATTATAATATTAATAATATAATATGTAGTTAATAATAAATTTATTTACGCATATAAATAATTACAATATTATTATATTAGATGTAATATAATATTATCATTAATTTTAATTAGGTCACAAAATTTTTTTACCAAAAATTTAATCTGATCGAATTTATAAAATGTATACAGATTTCGAAGAAAAAAGTAAAATAATTCCATTTATTATAGATACAATAAAAGTGCGACTAGGAACTTTTATTTGATTATTCTTTTTATAGACAAAGAAGTTTGTATAGCTCATTAAAGTGCTAATTTAAAAAATAAAAAAACAATAATAAAAACTGTTTGCTCTGCTTTTGAAAAATATATATGTACACGATTTATCCTCGTTTGACAGTTGCTTATACCTATAGGAGAATAATTGCATAAAGACGATGATTCACAATAAATGTGTGGCAAAATGAAGAGGAAAAATATTTATTTTAAAAACATTATCACATGATTTCTTGTTCAAAATAAATATTATAATTCAATTACATAAAATATTTAGAAATTAAGTACATTTTTTTTGAAAATTACTCTGCTTTAAAAATTTTACCCAACAAATTTGTAAAAATTAGAAAAATGATTTTTATTATTATTGAATATTGAAAATATTATCATTATGATATTATTATTATTATTATTATATTATTTTTATATTATTATATTATTATTATATTTTTTTATATTATTATTATATAATTATTATTTTATTATATAAAATAAACTTTTTTTTTTCTTTTTTTTATAAAGAAACTTGTTAAATAATCTCTTTCCTTGACTTCTTTCAATTACTTAATTCTCCTTCGCATTCAGATTCGAAAATTGGCTCATTTACTTTTATTATATGAGAACTAGTAATTTTCTTGGGTCACAAGGTCGTAATTGTAAAATTTCATCAATCATTTTTTTTTATTCATCGTCTGAATTATTTTTTATTTTCTGTGTTTACCATTTTGTTTATTACTATCTATAAGGTGTACGATATTTATAAATTTTTCACTACCTTCTTCTCTTTTAATTCTCTTATTCATCTTCTGATTGCTCGATTTCTTTCCACTATGGAAATAAATTAATTGAATAAGCAAATAATAAATTAAAATTATGACCTTTAATTTACGTTTTTAATTTTTACAATTTTCAAGAAAGTAATTTTTAAAAATCTCTATCCAAATATCTTAACGAAATATTTTTCGTTCATTTGAACGTTTAGAATTTTTTAAATATAATTTAAAAATTGTAAAATAAAAAAGTAATAAAATAAAAAAAATAACAACTTAAAAAATAAATTTAAAAAAAATTCTATGGAAAGTATTTAAAAATAAATTCTATTTTCATCTTTTTTTTCGACAAATTTATTTTTATTACAGTATTCATTTATTAAGTGTGGAAAAATTGATTTACTTTTATCTATTATTATAAAATAGTATTTTTTTACATAACAAATAATAGTATATCGAAAATATAAAACAATATATACAGAAAGCGATGCATTTAAATTATATGTAATTATCAGTGTAGGTGAATTTTTTTTTTTAAGTTACAAGGGGAAAAGTTTGTCCCAGAAATTCATTCTTTCAGGATTAATGACACCATCCTTCATGGTGAGCTCATTACTAATTTCCAAATAACATTTATTTTCCGAAGTGAATTCATTCCAAGTTACGTTTTTAAATAAGTCATTGCCTTCGGGAATTGGTTTGCCAGTTTTGGCGAAATTCTCCCAAATTGCTGTCATTCGCTCGACTGTCATTAATTCTGGATCATTTTCTTTAAAGAATGGAAATTGCTTTATGTAAAAAAGATACAGCAAATCGTCGTGATGCGAGACGCCTGTAAAACAAAAGAAAAAAGTTAAAAAAAATAATTAATATTTCTATTAAAAAAAATATTAATATTATTAATATTTATTATTTGTAATAATTTCAGTATTTATTAAAAATATTTAAATAGTAACATTAGAACTCTTATTAATTAATTAACTTAATTAAATTAATTAAAACTCTTAAAAATTATTTATTTATTAAATAAAAAAAATATATAAAAATACAACAATTTACAAAATAATATTTCGCCAAAATCGTAATTTATTTTGCACTGTTTCAATTTTTTCAAAACAATTTTAATAGTAAGTTTTTGTAGAAAAATTACCATAAGGTTTTTGTGTTTCCGGATCAATTACGTGACTATATCTTCCTTGATAGGTAAAATGATAATAATAAATTGGCATCTTTGACGATGATGCTAATAAGTTGATCAGTCGATGTTCAGAATACGCAATCACGCCATCGCAGTAGAGCTAAAAATATAAATTAAATCTAGAGTAAATAAATAAACAGAAACAAATATATAAATTTTAGTTATAGTTGCTTTTTGTTAAAACTGATTTTAAAAATAATTTGTAATAAAAAATAAATAAACTGGAAAAATTAAATCTGAAACAAAATTTGTTTAGACAAATAATAATAATTTAAAGTTGAATTGAAATTTTAAATAAATTAAAAAATATTTTTCAACTTAACTTACATCAGCAATTCCTTGAAGATTATCGACACTAATCGGTTTGTCATGATTGTAAAATTTGTACAATTCCTTACTAATTTCCTTCGATCTATTTGTGTCTCTCTCGTATAAGAAACTAATGGGCGCAATGCTGTCCCAATTTGTATTCCATTCGTCGAAAAGTGAAAAATTTCCCTTTTTAGCCTCAGCTATGGGCACTGGCAAAAAAAAAATATATCCAATCATTTTTTGTTCTAAATGAATGATTTTTGTGGAAAAAAGAATTTTTGATTAATTATACAGTCGACTCTCGATAAAAATTGAATATCAAGAGAAGTAAAAAAAAATTAAAATTGTCCAATGTTCTGATAGTATCTAAATTATTTCTTTGGACTTATTTAATAAAATTTATAATTTACAATTTATTTAATTTAGTAAAAGAATTTACTTATTAAGAAATTCAAGTTATCGCGAAAGTTCAATTATCGAGAGATAACTGTATTTTAATAAAATAAAATATCAATATTAATTAATATTTATGACGAGCACATCTGAAGTAGAAAACAGCAAAAAATAACACATTTTTTCTAAGGATGTCAAATTGAGACAAATTGCAACAATTTTGTTACGTTTTTTTGACTCAATTTGATATCTTTAAAAAAACTGTAAATTTACGTTTATGGTAGTATTATTTTTAATTTCTCTTTTTTATTTTATTACTTCAATCACTTTTTAATTTATTTTTTTGTTTTCTTTACATTTAAAAAATTTTCCATGAAAATTGTTTTTAATTTTACAAAAGTAAAAAATCTATCTTTAATCAAAGTGAAACTATGATCATAAAAATAATTTCTTATTTTTTGCTGCTTTAGGCCCCTTTTTCAGAGAGCGTTAAATTTATTTATTCAAAAAAATAAGTAAATAAATAAAAATACCAAAAAAAGGTAAATTTGAAATTATTTACACAAACTAACGCCACCGAATTCATCTTTATTGAATCCGCCAATGAAGGGCACTTGTGAAAAATTGCCTTCTTTTATCAATTTCACTGGATCGTCCGGAAGGAATCTTTCGACTCCATTCACTTCCGGCTCTATAACTGGGGTCCATACCAAAATTGGATCACCATGCCACTCCTAAATTTTTTCCAAAAATATTATTACGTTCGAAATCAAAATATTAATTATTAGTAGAAATTAACTAATTATTAGTAAAAATCTCGACTGATTTTTTGCTTCAGCAAATACTAAAAAATAACTAATATAACTAATTATATGCAAAAAAAAACTAATTTTTAGTTAATAATTAATTAAGAAAACAGTCAAATTTGACTATTTAGGAAAAATTTTACTAATATATTAGTAATAAAAAATAACTAATTATAAATTAGTAGAAAGTTACTAATAAAATAATGAAAAGTTGTCCACCAAAATTACATGGTAATAACTTTATTAATTGCTAGTAGAATTGTACTATTTAAAATTATTATTATTTATTATTTTTTATTATTTTTACTAATTAAAATTTAGAGAGTTGTTTAGTAATTTAATCACAATAATTATTCTCGCAAATAGTAATAAAAATGAATAAAGTAAATAGATTTTTTTTTAGATAACGATAAAAATAATAAGAATTTAAAATATAATTTTAGAAAAGCGGGAAAAACTTACGAAAAATTGTGAGAGGGAATTGGCGAATTCTTCGGCTGTTTTTGTATTCATACAAATTAGCATATTACCAACGGTGTCAGTGGGACAATCCAAAATTTCAGCTTGCTTGATTGCCAAATTTTTCTGCTCCATTGGAAGGGGTTTTTGATAAATAGCCGAACCACTCATTGCAATTGCCCTGTGAAATAATCCTTTAGACATTGGCGACACCATATGCAATGAGACACTCCAACTTCCGGCACTGTAACCAGTTATTGTCACTGAATCAGGATCACCGCCATATTCCTTGATATTGTCCCTAATCCAACGCAATGCCACCACTTGATCTTTAAGTCCAAGATTTCCCGGAAGAAGTGAATCTCCAGTGCTCATGAATCCTACACTCGATTTAATTTTAAATCATTAGAAATTAAAATTGAATAATTGGAATTCAAATCTTTCAAATCTTATTTCATTTTCTTATTTATTTTATTTTTTTATTTATTTTAATTTTTTTTTGTATTTAAATTTAAAGTAGTCAAAAAAAAATTTAGGGAGTAATAAGGAGTAAAATTTTTCGATATTTACCTAAAGAACCAAGACGATAATTTACAGTAACTAAAACAATTTCTTTATCCAATAAATATTCAGGACCCTCCAAATGACTCTGTCCAGATCGAACATAGAAACCACCTGGATGAAAGAATACAATTACTGGTTTCTTCACTTCTTTATCCTTGTCGGGCAACTGAAAATTAATTTCCTCTTATTATATCAAAATTTAATTAAATAAAAATTGTATTTTAATTACATATTTAATTTACATAAATTTATATATATTTTTATTTTTAATATATTTATTAACAAAATATTTTAATTATTTATCTTTATCTATCAATTTCTATAAAATTTTCTACCTCATTTGTATAAACATTTAATCGAAGGCAGTCCTCCGAAATTGTTGTATCTCCTGGTTGAGGACATGCTGGTCCCTCTTGTGAGGCATCAAAAACTTCTGTCCATGCTTTCACTGGTTCAGCTGGCTGAGAAAATAAATTTCTATAAATAATTAAAATTCCAATTATTTTGTATTTAAAAAAGTAAAACACTTAAAGTTAATGATAAATAAACAAAATTTAAATCTGAAATTTAAATAAACTAATGAAATTTAAATCTGGAATTTAGAGAAATAAATAGAAAAATTAAAATTTGGAAACTAAGATAAATAAATAAAATTTAAATCTGGAATTTAAATAAACTAATGTAATTTAAATCTGGAAATTTAATTAAAAAATTACATTTAAATCATCAAATTAAAAAATTATAAAAAAAGGTAAAATCTGGAACTTACCTACATAAAAAAAAATTAAAATTAAATTTGGAAATTAAAGACAAACGAATAAAATTAAAACATTATGAATATTAAAATAAATATATCAAATTTAAATCTGAAATTTAAATAAACTAATGATATTTAAATCGGAAAATTAAAGAAATAAATAAAATTAAAATTTGGAAATTAAGATTAATATTCAATATTAAATTAATTGGCTTTAGGATCCATAATAAAATTTAAATCTGGAATTTAAATAAACTAATGAAATTTAAATCTGGAAATTAAATTAAAAAATTACATTTAAATCAGGAAATTAAATAAATAAAGAAAATTAAAATCTAAAACTTAAATAAAAAAAAATGAAAATTAAATTTGGAAAATAAGAACCAACGAATAAATTTAAACCCTATGAATATTAAAATAGAAAAATTAAATTTAAATCTGAAATTTATATCTAGAAATTAAATAAAAAACAAAATAAAATTTAAATATGAAAATGAAATAAACTAATGAAACATAAATCTCGAAATTAAATAAATAAAAAAAATTAAAAAATGTAACTTGCGAATAAAAAAATTAAAATTAAATTCGGAAATTAAAGACAAACGAATAAAATTAAAATATAAATATTAAAATAAATAAATAAAATTAAAATTTGGAAACTAAGATTAATAATAATAAAATTTAAATCTATAAGATTTAAATAAACTAATGAAATCTGGAAATTAAATAAAAAAATGACATTTCAATCAGGAAATTAAATAAATAAAGAAAATTAAAATCTAAAACTTAAGTAAAAAAAAATTAAAATTTAATTTGGAAAATAAGGACAAACGACTAAAATTAAATCCTCTTAATTACAATTTAAAAATCAATAGTTGTTAATAATAATTAAATGGAATAATATAATAATTAATATGTCACAGTTGACTAACTAATAATAATAAACATTTAATCGATCGTTAAATTAAATTGTTAACAGTTGAAAAAAAATTTGTTTCCAGGAAACCATTACTCTTATCTTAAATTACTCATTTCAAACAACGAAAGAATTAGTTGTCGCAACTCTTCGCTTTACATTTCATAAATTGAAATACCTTTTTACAATTATCACCTGGAAAATTTCTTTCTGCTTGCTTTTAGAATATGATATTTAAGTTTTTGACGTATTCGACAAATTTTTTTTCGCTTTCAAAATAATAAATAAGAAATTATCAAATGTTATATAAAAATATATGTATATGTATTATTAAATATTAGTAATCAATCAAAAATACAAAAAAATATAATTTTTTCTTATTTCTAATTAAAATAATATAATAAATAATAATTAACCTAAATAATTATTTATTGTTTGCGATTATTTTTATGAATATAATCCTTGTGCCTATTTTTTAATAACCTTCAACGATTACAAAATGATGATGAAAAAAAAAATTCTAAGTACAAAGTAACAAATGAAAAAGAATAAAAAAAAGAAGAAAAAAATGCGCACGACGCTAAACAATTATTGACCTATTTTCAATTCTTTTTGGTCATGTTCATTCAACCAAATCAACAATAATACAAATTTGTTCATTGGAAAACGTGAAAAGAATTGTGTTCCCTTTGAAATTGTTACCATTGCTTGCGTATATTGCATAAGTCTACTCGTTTAATGATATGTTAATTATTTTTTATTCAAAAAAAAAAAAAAAAAAAAAATTTACCGACGAGAATTTTTTTACAACAAATTTTTTTTCGGGGATTTCCTTTTATCAAACGTCTAATCAAATATAATGTGCACCAAGAGGAAAATTTTATTTCAACCAAATATAATTTATTTGAGTTAAATAAATTTTTCTTTGAGCCAGCTAAATTTTATTTTATTCGGTTCAATTTATAATATTATTATTTTTTTTCAGTTCAAATAAATTTTATTTGGTTCAAATAACATTTTTTTTTTGTTCAAATAAATTTTTTCGGTCCAAATAAATTCTATTCGGTTCAAATAAATTTTATTTGATTCAAATACATTTTTTCGGTTCAAATAAATTTTATTCGGTTCAAATTAATCTTTTACAGTTAAAATAAATTTTTTTCAGTTAAATAACTTTTTTTCAGTTAAAATAAATTTTATTTGGTTCAAATAACTTTTTTTTTGGTTCAAATAAATTTTTTCGGTCCAAATAAATTCTATTCGGTTCAAATAAATTTTATTTGATTCAAATAGGGGAATGTAGTCAAGGTTGGCCTACTGTCTAGGTAGGCCACTCGCGTTTTTTTGTCAAGTTCACTAGCGCCACCTACGCGCATTTTTGTCGAAGCTTGTCTTAGTGAAACCTAACTTTTTGTTCAATTACATTTTCGGAAAATCTAAAATTGTGTTTTCTGTGACGTCGGTACAAAAAAAGCTCAAAAAAAGTTTTGTGCATAATGTGAAAAACCATTAATAAAAGATAAAAAACAAATTGAATCGTCAAGGCAAGTATGCAGAAAATTTGTGGGACTCATGGTTGAAAGGAAAACAAAGTAAAAAATCGAATCCCGAAACGTATTTCTTTATGGTTACAACAATTCGGTAATGTTACTTACTGTCAAGGTCGGCCACTATGTGTTTAAAATGCGCAAAGTTGAGGACGAGCTACTTCATTTGCAAAAACTGCAATTCTGTATAACTCATAATATAATTGATCATCTTATTAATATTTTTATTTAATTTTATTAATATTTTAGTGCAAAACTTTTTTTATTTATATTTATTTTTTATATTGTTTATTTTTATTATTTTGTTATTTCATTAAGTTACAAACTGTAAACAATAAAGAATCAATTTTCCGTAACTCCAAACATGTTATTTTATTTTTTAACGATTAATGCCCTTTGAATTTTAAACATGGCCGACCTTGACTGTAATGGCCAACCTGGACTACAAATTTTTTTTTTTTAAATCTTTATAACTTTTTCATTTTTAAACCTGTCAATTTACTTTGTACAGAAAAAATGTTCCTATTAAACAGGACTTTCCAACCATATACTTCAATTGTCCAAATTTATTTTTAAAAAAAAGTTATAAACAAAAGTCAAAAAGGTGGCCGACCTAGACTATGTTCCCCTACATTTTTTCGGTTCAAATAAATTTTATTCGGTTCAAATAAATCTTTTACAGTTCAAATAAATTTAATTTGGTTCAAGTAAAAATTTTAATTCATTTCGAATAAAAATTTTATTTTTAACAAATAGATCATTTAGTCAATTCTTTGACAACTACATACTTTTTCTTGACTGAAATAAATAATATTTGCTTGAAATAAAAAATTTCTCTGGATGCATAAAAATATTGATATATTGAAATATTATTTCCCATTTTTTTTTCTCCAACTAAAAATAAAAATACAGCGAAAATAAAACGTGAAGGAATAAAAATTGCAAAATTATGTGAAAAACTATTAAAAGTCCATTTTCATCGCGTGTAAAAAGTAATCTTGTTAATTGTCGGAACTAATCTCGCGCAGTAATTAAATGTTTGATCCTGTTGCATATTCTCTTTATATGTATATACGTATATATATGTTAGTCACTTATTTGAATGAAACGCGTATTTTTCACGTAAATTCCTATTATTGCACTAACTGAAGCAAACATCAAAACTACTTAGCGTTGTTTATAAAACATATGTAAATCTCGATTTACCTCAAGGCGAAATTAATTCATATATTATGTGTGCACATATAGATATATGTATGTGGCATTTATTGTACATTGACACTAGGTGATTCATTGAAAGAATCCTTAAGAACCACGACGGAAGAAGTTGTTAAGACAACTGCTGTCATGAGACTTTGAAAACTATTACGCATCTCGTCCAAGTCATATGACTGTTACTTTTTATTATATAGCATTTTCTGCCAGCAGTCAAGGTCCTCATTATGCAATAAAAATCTAAATCTAAATCTTAATCTTAATTCTGACCACTTTCTTTTGATTTTCGAAAAAATAATTTTATTACTAATTTTATCGATAAATTTTTACTTTAAACTTAGTAATTTAATGCTTCTTTGGTAAACTTTTTGGTTAAAACCAAAAAAAAAACTTTGATTAATTGATTAAAAAAAATTTACTTGATTAAAATAACCGATTAATTGTCTATTATCAAGTAATATTTACTTGAATTAAATAATTTTTACTTGAATCAAATAATTTTTACTTAAATCAATTAAATGATATTTGAAACAATAATTTCAGTATTTGAAACAATACTTTCAGTATTTGAAGCAAATATGAATTAAACTAATAAAATTTTATTTGAACCAAATATGAATTAAGCAAACAAAATTTTATTTGAACCAAATATTTGTTTTAAGTAAAAGTTTTTGTCTAATCTAATTATTTTTATTATTTTATTATTTTTTACTATTATTTAATGATAGAAATTAATTTTTTCGAAAATTTTTCTTTCACTATAAGGAACTATTTAGTATTCATTCTATTATTCAAAAGCATTAAAAACAATTATCTTCTACAATTAAAATATGACTTTGAAACATAATTTTTTGAATGAAATTAAAATAATTACCGAATTAATTAAAAATTACATTACTTCATTCTATTTCTTTAAACACCGAATGTTCAATATTCGTAAGAAAATTTCTTTCATGTTTCAAATTTTGTAATTATTTTAAATTAAAAATTAAATGAAAATTAATATTAAAAATATTTTGAAATTATTAATTATTATTATTAATTAAATAATTAATTTAATCGACTATATTATTAAAATTACTATTAATAGAATACTTAATTAAATTATTAATTTAATTGTTATTACACTGAAAAAATATTGATTTGATTCAAATTACTAATTACTTGTTTGTTATGAAATAAATATTTACCTGAATCAAGTAATTTTTATTTGAACCAAATAATTTTTAATTGAAACAAATAATTTTTATTTGAATCAAGTAATTTTTATTTGAATCAAATAAATTATATTTAAACCAGTCATATCAGTATTAGCAGCAAATAGCATTTAATTGATTTAAACAAAATTTATTTGATTAAAGTAATTATATTCATTTGCTAATTGACAAGTAATCGGTTATTTGAACCAAATTCAATTTTTTACAGCGCAATATTTTGATTAAATTGAAAAATCATTTTCATCTCCTTGATCAAATAGAGCTATACTCGGAAATAAGGATAAAAGGAAGGTACATTATACAACTTCCCTTGCATTACATAATATTTTTTCTTCACAAAGTAATCAAACAATATAATTTTATTTGCACATCATTTCGTTTTGCGGACAAATGTAATTAAATGCAAATTCAAATTAACACGAACTTGATTTCAAAGCTTTATGATTTTATTAGTATTATACTATTTTTATTACTATTATTATGACAATTGCTACTTAACCTAAACTGTGAATTTTACACAGAAAAAAATTATTTGAATCAAATAAATGATTACTTGTCTATTATCAAATAAATATTTGTTTGTATCAAGTAATTTTTTTTATTTATGTCAACGGGATTTTTCTGAAAGTACTGAAATTATTAGAACAAATACTGAATTTGGTTCTATTATTGGTTCAATAATAAAATTTATTTGATTTAAATAAAAATTACTCGACTCAAGTATAGATATTTATTTGATAAATGATTATTAAACTAAATAAATAAAAATAAAATAAATAATAGACAAGTAAATATTTAATTGATAAAAAAGTATTCGTTTATTTGAATCAAATACATTTTTTTCAGTGTATCATTATTATTTTTGATATTTGTACACTGAGGAAACAATATATTTGAATTATCTTTGTCATACAGTCAACTGAAAAGTATTTTTGAATTAAACAGAATAATTTCGATTCAATACTTAATAAGTTTGATAAAATAAAAATTACGTTTAATTCAAACATATTTTCTTGGTTTGCTATACTTATTTTTAAATTAAAAAAAATTTCTCAGTGTAATAAAGTAAATAAATAATTAAGTGAATAAAAATTGTCACTTACCTGAAATCGTCGTTGACCAACAGGTGGTTCAGCATATCTTACACCTCGAAAAGAATAAATTTTTTTACCCAATCTACTTGTCATTAAAGAACCTTTCACTTTACCAAGGGATGAATTCAACTCGTGTGTCTCTAAAGCTTCATCTTGTGCCGAAGAAATATTCATACCAACGAGAACAAAAAATATGCACAAATATTTTTTTGTAAATCGTCCCATTTTTAGGACGAATTTAAAAATTTATTCCTAATATATTTTTTATTAGATTCTATTTTCCTTTTGATGGTGAAAAAAAAACAGAAATATTGAAGAAAATCAAAGATATAATTGAATGTGTTGCGCACTAATGTCAGTTGTACACTGAAGCTTGAAAGAGTTGAGTGAAACATTTTATATGAGTCAGACAAGCGAGATATAGAATAAGTGAAAAACAAGAATAGTAGAGCACGCGGTAATTTTTATTATAAGTACGATTTTTTCCTTTTTCTTTGCAATTAGAAAAAAAGGTAATAATTCATTTATTTTATTTATGAATCATTGAATATTTTCTTCCTCATCATTTTTTCATGTACCATTGTCCATTTATTCAAAACTAATTAAATTCCTTTCGGAAACTTTGAAAATAATTTTTCTCCTATCTGTTTTTTGCAGTTTATAATTTTTTTGAAAGTATAATTAAAATGTTTATTTCATTTACAATGCTGTTATTTATTTTGAAATTCAATGAATTTCAAGCGAATTTACTTTCCAAAATTTTTTAAAATTTTTTTTGCAAAAATAATATTTTGAAATAAAGAGTTTAAAAAGAATGAAACATTGACGAACTTTGAAATTTCTTTTTATGCATAAAAAAGGGCACAAGACGATGAACTAAATAGGAAATTATGGAGTCACAATGAAGCTGAAAAATACAAACAATATCCAATTATCAAAATTTGGGAATAATTATTATTAAAACTAATAAGAAAATGTCATATTACTCCCGAAATGCCTCGAAGATGATTGACAGTAATTGGCTCATCATGATTGTAAAATGAGTTTAATTCTCTACTAATTCGTCGAGATCTAGCAGTATTTCTTTCGTAAACAAATATAATAGGTGCTATTTCCTCCCACTTTGTATTCCAATCGTTAATTGCAGAAAAGTTCCCTTTCTTAACTTCCTCTCTCGACACTTTAAAAAAGAATTCTTATTCTAGTTTACAGCTGAAAACTTTAATATTAAAGGGACATGAGACTGAACTAAACATACAGAGTTACCTACAGGGAATTGTTCCAGACTATTAGTAATTTCGTTCTCTGATTTTTGCCTCAAACAATTGAGCATATTTCGTGTATATTCTGAATATTTATTCGAAAGAAAACCTATTACTATAATTATAAAAATAATAATAATAATAATAATAATCAAAATAATAATTATTATGATTATATTCTTTTCAACTAGAAATTTTACTACTTGGATGTACCTGATTTGTATAGACATTTAAACGCAAACAATCCTCAGAAGTGTACGAGTTATTAGGTTGAGGACAAGCTGGGCCTTCAACGGAAGCATGAAACATTTCCGTCCGCGGTTTTACTGGCTCTGCTTACTATAAAAATATTTCATTTTTATTTTTTGTAATTAAAAGAAAAAAAAACACCACAAAAAAGCAAAGATGATTCTACAAGGCTATATTGACTACATATTTTAAATTTTGGTGTATTAATGATTTATTCTTCATGTGTGTAAAAGTATACGTTTCCGCACTGTTCTTTTTAAAACTTTATCGACGAGATTGTGTTAAAATTACATGTCCATATAGTGCTTGACGAATTTTTATCAATTTCTATTGTCTGATAGCATACGGGTGGACCTGCTACTGCTTTAAAGTTACAGCAAAATAGTCTATACTTCAGGATAATGTTCAGCAACATTCCAGCAACAATTTTGGTGATTACCAGCTCATATAAATTATTAGAATTAGAAAGAATAAATTTAAGCGTCTTTTTTCTGAAGTTTTGATTAATTTAATCATTCTAAAACATTATTACATTATATTTACAAAATTTTGATTATTTCGACGATTTTCGAAATTTTTATTAACAATTTTTATTTAAAAAATTTTTACCAAAATATTTCATATCGATGCCGAAAGAAAGAAAACAATCGTAAAAAATATTTAAAAGAAATTTCAGCTACAAAAGCAATAAATGCAATTAAATAACCATGAAGTGCAACAAAAAGAAGAATCTGAAGAAGATTTTCCACATAACCAAATTCATCTTCACCAGACGAGTCTTGACTCTTGCCACGTATTATAGTATCAGCAAACGAATACGGTTCATTCCACTTATCACGTAAACCCGATTCAATCAATCGTATTATTAATTTATTAAATCTCTCCTTATACGGTGAACCCCTACCCAAATTCATAACTGTTCGAAAACCAAAAAATTTCTCCTTCAATGCCGTCAATGCTGGACGGCCACTTTCATTTTTCGACAATTCTATTGCAGCAACAACATTTGTACCCGGCTTTAAACAAGAAATATTTCTATTCACATTCTTCAAAATCATTGGTAAACAATCAGTTGTCACCTTTCGTGTTTTTTGTTTCAATCTCAATAAAGGACCATCATCAGCGTCACCGAACGTAACCTCAAACATATTCGCATGAACTAAAGGAACTAAACCCGAACGATCAAGATCATTGAATGTATTAAATTCCATTGTCGACATTACTTGCATACTCATATCCGTAAAACCGGCAAAAAATATCGAACCACACAAAAATCCCAAAAAAATTATTGAAATAAATAATAAACGCTCGTGAATTGACGACGTTTCATTTTCAACACTTACACCCGAGAGTATTGCAATAATATTTATAAATCCCAATTGTTCATAGCGAAATAATCCAGTTATAATAGAGAAAAAAGCTACTACCAGTAAAAATATTGTAAACGTCTTATAGAGCGCAGAATTCTCAACAATTTTCTTCTCGCCCTGTATTATTGGTACAATTGCATAGACATTCTCCCAATTAACCATTCTCGTGAATTCTGAAACAGTTCTTTTTGAATCACGTGAAAATAATATTGTCGTCAATAGAATATCAATTTCATTTCTTACACACATACCAAGCATACTTCCCGCCGTATTATCCTTCAAATTAATGACACCAATTGATGCATTCGCAAACGATACAACAATAAACGAAAAATTCATTGCCTTCGCTAAAACATCGAGTGCAACAAAATCCGCTCCCCAGTATTTTATTAAACTACCACTCGAATTGAATTGTAATTGACTGTAAGGTGGACTGGGATATGCACCAGCTATCAACTTGTAACCATTCATATTTTGTAATTTATTTGGAAACCATTGATAATAGTTTCTTTGTGCAAATTTCTCCATTCTGTATTCACCAGTGAATGGATTAAACGAATGTAACGAAGCATCAAGTGGTTTAGAATAAATATTAAATAACCCCTTCCAATTTTCATCCAATTCCTTCAATTCCAACTGGAAAATTGTTGTGTCAAGAAAAAATTTTAACCACATAAACTCAAGTAGTTCTTTGTAAAGAATTTTTTCTTTACCTATCGAGAATGTTATTATCAAACATTTTGGACGAATTCTATTTGGTGATAGTGCTCTCATAAAATTAATCGAATCAATAATATTTAATTTCGATGAATTATTATTTTTCAGTTCATTGTCAATTATTATAAAAAAACTTGTTGCTCTTGGTTCATCAAAAACGGGTAGGGACACTAGTTTCTTATTTTTCGTTGAACTATTTATCACTAAACAGGGGAATTTTGATAAAATTCCATTAACTATATTGTCATTAGTCAAATATTCCGTTTCATTGTTTATTAATATCACCACTTGATAATTAGTTGAATTTTTTTCAATAAATTTCATTAAAGGTGATAAGTAATTTTTGAAATTAATTCTTCTTGTCGAATCACAATTCACAAGGAACAAAAGCAAGAGCCAAAATTTCCATCCATTCATGCTCATTGTTTCGTAATTTAATTGCAACTTTTTAGTTTATTAATTTTACATAATTGTAATTTTATAATTTTTTTACTACATTGCTCTAAATTTTCTGCCCGTACGTCAAAAGTAAAAGAACGTTTTTTCTCTTTAAAAAGAAAAATGTGAAAATTGGTTTTTTCACCTATAATTTTTGTATGTTTATTTAATAACAAATAAAATTATCGTACAGAGAATGGTTTACGAAAGGAAAGTAATGATCTATTTAACTGACAATTTACTATAGATTTTTGATAGCATTGTCCTTGATTTTGTTATTTCAATTGATTTTTCGCTAATACCGAGTGGTTTCTAACGAATTTAAATTTAATCAATTTTTAATATCAAAATGTAAAATAATAATAATAATAAATAATTATTATTTATTTATTATTTTTATTATTTAATTTATACCTAACAAAAATAAAAATCTTATATTTTGTTGCAGAAATCAGTCCCGTGAAGAAATTTAACCATGGCCGTATTCGGTGCCAGATCTTTTGATCATTGTGTAGGCCATAACATGGTAATTTCTACACGGGGTTAGACTCCGAATTATCAAAAGGAATTCAATTGTTGAAGATATAGTAGATTGAAAAAAATTGCCAAAAGAGAAGCGGCCAATTTGTCAAATATAAAAAAACCTAACCTAATTTTTCCAATTACTTGTTATTTATTTAGAAAATTTGTTAGTAATTTTTCAATTTTCCACTATTTTTTATCATGAATTTGTTATTAATTATAAATAGATAATAATTAATAACTAAATAAATAATTTTCATGTAATATTTATTCAAAGTTAATTAAATTCATTGTGGAAACTTTGAAAATAATTTTTCCCCTACCTTTTTCTTTGCAGTGAGAGCATTTACAAATGATGTCACATTTTTGGAGGTAGGGGGGGGGGGGGTATTTACTAAACGTGACACAATGTATTTTTCACATGTAAATGTTTATTACAATTAATGCTGTTATTTATTATGAAATTCAACGAATTTCAAGTGAATGTACTTTCCAAAATTTTTTAAAATTATTTTGCAAAAATAATATTTTAAAATAAATAGTTTAAAAAGAATTTAATTTAAAAAAATTTTATAATAAGCTTTAATTTCTTATTCGAACAGACAAAAAGAGTACAGAAAAAAGAAGAATTTAATGTTGCATGGCTGCCATAGAGCCTGGAAATAGTATGGAATTTAAAAAATTTTCTCTAATTTTGCTTGTTTTTAAAGATTTTTGAGGAAATATTGTTCTAGTTATTGCTTAGGAACAGTATATAATTTCTTTATTAAGAATTAACAAACCAAACATAAAGTTAGCTCAAAAAATAATCTTTCATCTT